GACTAAATCACGGGGTTGACACTCCTCCGTTCTGCCTCGGTATTCGAGGCAGACCAGAAGCACCTGATCGCGCTGTCCCTGCAGCTGAGATCGCTCTGACAGGCTATCAGAACGAGCACATGTGCTGCAGGATCTCCTGACCCTGCGCTTCTGTGGTCAGTGTGAAGTGCAGGAAGATGGATCAGCAGTGACCTGTGTAAAAAAAATAAAAATAATTAAAGCTAACTCCCACCCCCTCTAACCATTTAAAATAAAAATTAACCCCTTCCCTGCCAGTGATCACGGACTACAGTGATCAATTGGCAGGGACTACATTTTATAATTAATGAGAATTTATACATGTATATGTGACATCGAATAAAAGCCCTTTTTGTCCTCTAAAAATCAGTATATAATATGTGTTGGTGCAATAAAAGAGAGAGATGCAAATTGCGATTGAACACAAACAGGAAAAATGGCTTATGTCCTTAAAGGAACACTATAGTCACCTAAATAACTTTAGCTAAATAAAGCAGTTTTAGTGTATAGATCATTCCCCTGCAATTTCACTGCTCAATTCACTGTCATTTAGGAGTTAAATCACTTTGTTTCTGTTTATGCAGCCCTAGCCACACCTCCCCTGGCTATGATTGACAGAGCCTGCATGAAAAAAAAAACTGGTTTCACTTTCAAACAGATGTAATTTACCTTAAATAATTGTATCTCAATCTCTAAATTGAACCTTAAATCACATCCAGGAGGCTCTTGCAGGGTCTAGCAAGCTATTAACATAGCAGGGGATAAGAAAATCTTAATTAAACAGAACTTGCAATAAAGAAATCCTAAATAGGGCTCTCTTTACAGGAAGTGTTTATGGAAGGCTGTGCAAGTCACATGCAGGGAGGTGTGACTAGGGTTCATAAACAAAGGGATTTAACTCCTAAATGGCAGAGGATTGAGCAGTGAGGCTGCAGGGGCATGTTCTATACACCAAAACGGCTTCTTTAAGATAAAGTTGTTCAGTGTCCCTTTAAGGGTAAGACAAGCTTCTGAAGCTGTGTCCTTAAGGGGTTAATATGTAACAAGAGTTGGAAATACTGGCCCTTTGATAAGTTCTCCCTTATATTTGCTCTATACATAAACACATTGCTGAAACCTTCTCTTACCCAATGGGCACACAGGCCGGCGAGTGTCCGTCACGACATCATTATAAAGCTCCTTGTGTCTCTCTAAATACTCCCACACCTACAAGAAAATTACAGTGTGACATGAACATAGCTCTTAGGGTGATACATCCAGACACATCCCTTGGTTTTACTCTATGATGTCCCATTCCCAGCAGCCTCACCTCTCCAGTCAGCAGGTGGATGATCTGATTTGTCAGTTTCAGGACCTTCTGCTCATTGTTTCCATCATGGATCAGTGAGTGAGGTGGAGACACCGTGCTGGGACTCTGGGCCCTGTCAGAACCATCTGACAAACCAGGACTATGGCTCTGTTGCACAGACTCACCCGGTCTCTTCATAACGATACAATCCTATATAACGAGGGAGAGTTTAATAAATATGAATTTATGGAGAGGAACACCTTCTATAGATATATTTCTTTAACAGGATTTAACTGTAAAGTTCAGACTTAAACAGACTACTTTAAAAAAGCCAGTATGTATAAATGTTTAAAGTGCTCACCAACTGGAGTAACTGGACCGGCACCAGAGAAGGTTAATCACAACAACGAAAATCTAACAATGAGACTGTCGACCAATAATATCCTCCTTTTAGATGATGATTATATAATTATGAGATATATAGATATATAAAATTATATGTGCACAGTGAGCAGACCTGCCTGAGACCATATAGCGGCTCCACCAATCAGGAGGCTCTTATAATGAACTACGAAGTTTCCCTTACTCCATAAACTCCAATGCAGGAAATGTTTAGGGGATAAGACGTTTGTCCTTCAGGCAGATTTAATCTCACCAAACAGGATAGAGCGGACAGGTCGAGAGGGTCACAGAAAGCAGACAATGTATAAACTCAGACATAATCTGCCCTTTTCTTACTAATACCAATGATAAATTTGGACAAAAAACATCCCCTGAGAATCACTTAAGAAAAACAACATTCGGGAATGGATGCCAAGATATAGCACCAAATGGCAGCCCTGCCGGAAGCTAGCTCCTGTTCTTCTGGGGGAGAACGACCCCAATGCTTTAAATTAAATTCTCGCCAGTGGAGGCTAGTACATCTTATGTTGGCGATATAGATAAATAATTGAAGTTCTCTAATCTTACACTTTATATGTGACATTTTTGAAATGATACAGATCATCCGGGCATTCTAGAACACAGCCCTAGGCATAGCCAGAATGGAAATATGCAACCTTGCTACCTGGATTATGGAGATATATATCAATTTATTGCAAGCCCTCCCTTTCTAACCCCCCCACCCGCGACTTTCTGTGTCTGTCCTATCACAGACCTCCCAATGCAGCTCAATAAGAAGTCTTTGCAAGGCAGGTGCTCTGAGAAATTGGTCTCTTGAGTTTAGTTCCAGAGAGCTAAACAAACCAGGAAGTAACAGGACCAGTTGTCTGATTGTTGGGAAGAGGTGTAACAAGGTTCATTTATCAAAGTGACAGTTTCTATTCATGTCTGCACTTTTTGTAAAATGGAAAACAAACCAGGACACCCTCGTCACCCAGAAAACACGTTAGCGAGCTAAAGACTGTTAGATGCTTAGAGTATCCTTTTAAATGTAGAGATACAGCTGAAAATATGCACAACGGGGAAGTTCCTCACTAAATTCGCTGCCCGCTGTTATACTATCCCAGAAACAGGCTAAAAACTTCCACTTAGATGCTGTAACTCAGCTTCCGAAATCACTACTGTACATTGCGGTGTCCTGCTGTGCTTTCAAATCTTCTCCTTGCTCTATGGGATCACATCAAGAACATCTATACCACATACCTGCGATGTGACCTCTACTACTCCATTTATTATAGGACAATCTAGCAGTGACAGGTGAAGTGGACCTTCCTTGAGATTTGTGCTTTAGCTTCAGTATTCAAATGTTTAATTTGTTTGAGTATTGGTCTGATCGTAAACCGTTGTGGTGTATTTCCCCCTATAGTCCTCCCTCCTTAATGGGTAACAGAACACTAAGACAGCCACCACGATACTACTTCTTAATCCCTTTATATTCATATTCATTATGTGTGTACCTCACATATAAATTGTTCACGTGTCATTATGTGGTCACTGTGACATTCTCAGAATCCCTCACCTCTCCAGTCAGCAGGTAGTTGACCTCCAGGGTGAGATCCAGGATCCTCTCCGTCATCTGATTCCGGTTTGTGTTTGTCATCATTAAGCCAATCAGGCAGCCTGAGAACAGGCTCTGGGGTTGTGCACACGAATTAGAAGATTCTGTGACTCTTAAATGACAGATACATAATGCATTTTAATTTACACATTACACCTGAAATAAAATGAGAGAGACAATTAAATTTAAACTTGGTGCAGATCATCAAACCGTTCTAATATAACCAAAGATTTAGCGGTTAGCAAAGGGTTATCGCAAAAATACTACATGCATTTTTCAATTGACTTAATTGCCTGTATTATAAATGCATTGTAACTTTCAGATTCCCTTTAAGGCGGCTATGTCACCATCTCTGATCTTTGCATATTTTTGTCCTGATGGTGACTATTTGTCTTGCAGTGGGGTGGGCCGTGAGAGCTGGGGAAGGTGACTTTCACTTCCCTGAAGCTCTGTATCATGCCCACCGCCAGCTTCATGCAGCAGGTGTTCTGCAGGTCCTGGCACTTCCTCTGCCAGGGGCCCATGTCAGGGTGGCACTCTTGCGCATGCATAGGGAATATACATATGACAAAGTATCCCCTAAACCACATAATAAAAGCCATCTATAACTTACGTTAACCTTTTTTTTTTAAATTTGATGTTCTATTGTCCTTTAAATGTATATTAATGATTTAGAAAGTGATATCCCAACGCGGTTCACTCCAGGCAGAGCCGGTGCACACAATGTAAACGTGGAGAACAGAGACGCTATTTCCTTTTTTTGGTTCTATCACAAACGACAATGACGGACACAGGAAATATTTATAACAGTGATAGAGAACCAAGACGGACACGCCATGTTCAATGACAGACGTGGATTTCTGTTATTTTTCACATAATGCTGAATATCTGGGATTCTGATAAAATGAATAATCCTGGTTAGTTCCCCTCTCAGGTTAGCATATTTTTTATCCTGGATGGCGACTGCTCCGCTTGCAGTCCGGTAGCCAGTGGGCGCAGGGGAAAGTGAGCTTTACCCAAAGCTGTCCCTCTTGGCCTCTGCCATCTTTATCTGGTGGGTCCTTTCCAACTTCAGATGCGTCACCTGCCAGGAGCCCACGTAAGTGATGTAACTGCACACCAACTGAGGGCGATGGAGGATCCCGCAGGAGCCACCACAGACAATGCCTTCCTCCTGAGACACGGCCAAACCGGACAGCGGTCGCTCTGCCTTATGTGAAGTATTGGGAATACACATAACTCGTCCCTTCTTGGTCTCAATACAGCGACTGACAGCGAGGGGATTTCAGCCAATGGGAGACTTTCATACAGGTTTTATAGCAGTGAAATCCTCCTGTGGTGGTGATGGTCGAGGTGATGATGGAGGTGGTGATGGTGGAGGTGATGTAGTGGTGGTGATGGTAGTAATGATGGTGGTGGTGATGGAGGTGAAGGTGATGATGGTGGAGGAGGTGACGGTGGAGGTAGTGGTGATGGTGAAGGAAGATAGTGGTGATGGTGTTGGAGGTGGTAGTGTTGGAGGTGATGGTGGAGGTAGTGATGGTGGAGGTAGTGATGGTGGAGGTAGTTATGATGGTGGTAGTGGTGGAGATGATGGGAGTGGTGATGGTGGTAGTGGTGATGATGGTAGTGGTAGTGGTGGTGATGGTGGAGATGGTGGTGATGGTGGCGGTAGTGATGGTGGTAGTGATGGTGGAGGTGGTAGTGGTGGTGGTAGTCATGATCATGATGGTGGTAGTGGTGATGGTGGTAGTGATGATGATGATGATGATGGTGGAGGTGGTGATGGTGGTAGTGATGATGATGATGGTGGAGGTGGTGATGGTGGAGGTGATGATGATGATGGTGGTAGTGATGATGATGGTGGTGGTAGTGATGATGGTGGTAGTGGTGGTGGTAGTGATGATGGAGGTAGTGGGTGGTAGGATGATGGTGAGTGGTAGTGATGATGATGGTGGTAGTGATTGATGATGGTAGTGGGTAGGGATGGTGGTGGTGAGTGACGGTGGAGGTAGTGGAGGTGGTGGTAGTGATGATGGTGGTAGTGATGATGGTGGTAGTGGTGATGATGGTGGTGGTAGTGATGATGATGATGGTGGAGGTAGTGGTGGTAGTGATGATGGTGGTAGTGATGATGATGATGGTGGTAGTGATGATGGTGGTAATGGTGGTGGTAGTGATGATGATGGTGGTAGTGATGATGATGGTGGTGGTAGTGATGATGGTGGTAGTGGTGATGATGGTGGTGGTAGTGATGATGATGGTGATGGTGGTAGTGATGGTGGTAGTGGTGATGGTGGTAGTGATGGTGGTAGTGATGATGGTGGTAGTGGTGGTGGTAGTGATGATGGTAATGGTGGAGGTAGTGGTGGTGGTGGTAGTGATGGTGGTAGTGATGATGATGATGGTGGTAGTGATGATGGTGGTAATGGTGGTGGTAGTGATGATGATGATGGTGGTAGTGATGATGGTGGTAATGGTGGTGGCGTGAGTGATGATGGTGGTAGTGATGATGATGGTAGTAATGGTGGTGTTAGTATTGATGATGATGGTGGTAGTGATGATGATGGTGATGGTAGTGATGGTGGTAGTGATGATGGTGGTGGTGGTAGTGATGATGGTAGTGATGATGGTGGTAGTGATGATGGTGGTGGTAGTGATGATGGTAGTGATGATGGTGGTGGTGGTAGTGATGATGATGGTGGTAGTGGTAGTGATGATGATGATGGTGGTAGTGATGGTGGTAGTGATGATGATGATGGTGGTGGTAGCGATGATGGTAGTGATGATGGTGGTGGTGGTGTAGTGATGATGGTGGTGTTAGTGATGATGGTGTGATGATGGGTGGTGGTGGTAGTGATGATGGTGTGGTAGGTGATGGTGGCTGATGATGATGATGGTGGTAGTGATGGTGGTAGTGATGATGATGGTGGTGGTGGCGATGATGGTAGTGATGATGGTGGTGGTGGTAGTGATGATGATGATGGTGGTAGTGATGGTGGTAGTGATGATGATGATGGTGGTAGTGGTGATGATGATGGTGGTGGTAGCGATGATGGTAGTGATGATGGTGGTGGTGGTAGTGATGATGATGATGGTGGTAGTGATGGTGGTAGTGATGATGATGATGGTGGTAGTGGTGATGATGATGATGGTGGTGGTAGCGATGATGGTAGTGATGATGGTGGTGGTGGTAGTGATGATGATGATGGTGGTAGTGATGGTGGTAGTGGTGGAGACAGTCCCCTCTCAGGTTAGCTGGAGGCTGTAATGAGCAGGTTACTCTGTAAATACCATACCCTCCCCATAGTGATACCGAGTACCTCACTCACCAGTCCTGGCGGCAGCCGCTCCCTGGAGGCTCAGCACTGTATCCACTACTCCCCTGACTGATAGGACTCGGAATGGCCGCACTGCGCATGTGCGAGACTGACTGCTACCCGCCCGGCGCATTAAACGTGACGTCATCGGCCAGTCCTCCTTCTAAGCGGCCATCTTGGTTTAGGGCAAACTCCAACTCGTGTTCTAGCAGAGGGAGGGCAGAACCAGGACTAGTGGGGGTAACAGAGTGGAGATATATCCATGGGGTTTATAAAGTGGGAGATTTGTGAAGCTCCAGATTTCAGCCCCAGTAATTACTGTCATTGGGAACAATCAGCACTGTCTGACTGTGAGAATTGGGAGCTAATTAATAAAGAAATTAATTATTGATCTTTAACAGCCAAACTAAAAGAGATACATGTTTAGATATTCAGCTATAATATCTGCCAAGTGCCCTGAATCCAGAGAAAGTCCTGATTTTGTCCAGACATTTTGTTTCCTTCTTTTATTTAATGTCCTACTTCTCGGGGCAGCGCAGGAATTCCTAATAAAATGTAGTGTTAGATTCTTGTAGATTGGCATGTTGTTTAGGCAGCGAACTCGTCTCCTACGGCTCCTGTATGTCAGACATGGTTTGACAGAATTAATGGTCTGTCTTGGTTTTCTGCTGTGCAGTGCTGTGGAATATGTTGGTGCTATACAAATAATTGTAATTATTAGCATGTTTAATGAACATGCCAAGCACCGTAACCAAAGCTAACTGCACCACGCTGTAGTGGTTATGGTGTCAAAAGTGCCCCCCAAACCCACAGTTAGGCTTCTCTCTGACAGCTTCTGGCTCTCTGACTTAGGTAGTAGAGGCGGGGCGTGGTGCGTGATTTTAACAAGCATAGAAATGTAATTACAAAATACACACAATATAGAGAATGGCTTCATGCAGGCCCAGACTGGCCTTCTGCCAACGGGCTGCAGTGGCCATGGGCCAAGGCCGACCAGGGAGAACACAAAATCTCCCAGACCGGCCCCTTCAGGACTGACAGAGAGAGGGTTTCGCAGCCAGCATGGAAATCGAGGATCTCCCTCACCATCCAGTCCTCGGTACTGCCGGGAGCCCAGGGAGCATGAACTGTACTCAGTCCCTAAACACACACACTACAGTCGTTATCCCCTCTACACAAATACACTACAACCCATTCCCCACACCACTCAAACATGCATCTCTATGAGCTATGAGGAGGTGCTGATTGGCCAAAACGTTGGCCAAAACGGTGCTGATTGGCCCGTCCCTTGCCAATTTTAGCCCATCCAATGCTGTCCCTATGTGGCTATTGTTTGTTCATAATAAATATTCCTTTATCAAGTTCTGCCTTTGTCTGGTAGAGACTCACCTTACCTGGTTAGACCAATTTACTAGTATTTTGACATCGTGTTAAATCATTTTTAAAATCAAAAATGCACTAAATCCCAGTGTGTAACAGTCAAACACCTGTGTGGTATCTCCTTAAACCGCTCCAACAGACTAAAATAGTCAAAATATACAATACACAATAGGTGGAGTGTACCACGTCAAATAGGAGATGTATATGTTAAAAAAAAAAAAGAACGATCTGTAGGATGAAAGGAACAGAGAAATAATAAATACTAATTAAATATTTCTTAAATTCAAAATTGAGGTGTATAAATATGCAGATGTTCACTCTCAAAATCAGAGCCAGTAACACTAGGCTCAATATCTGGGCTTGATGGGATATTGTCAGGGACCCCACTCCCTCTTCTGTATCCTGGTTGAAATTGTCTTTAGCTCCAAAAAGTAATCCATCGGGCGTTGTGGATACAGCAATTTGATTTGAGCATAAAACGGATAAAAAGCAAAACGCAGGAACAAAATAAACATAAAATAAAAACCCTACACTTCGATTCAAAACGCGTTGAAATTGTGCATTCGGTTTCCTGGGTCAGTGGTACTTTTAAATATTTTTTAAATTGTCACCTTCTGATACTTCCTTGAACATCAGGGTCAGTGGCGTACACACAACCCACGGGGGCCCGGTGCGAAAACTGATCCGCGGGCCCGCCCCTCCCCCCGCGCTTACTCTGCGCGGGCCGGGGCTGCAACACATCTCGGCAGGCACCTGGTCGCGGTATGTACGCCAGTGTATGCAGATACACATACACTTAAAGGACCACTACAGACACCCAGATCACATCAGCTCAATGCAGTGATTTGGGTGCCAGGCCCCTCTAGTTTTAACCCTGTAGCTGAAAACATAGCAGTTTCAGAAAAACTGCTATGTTTCACTGAGGGTTAATCCCGCCTCTAGTGGCTGTCTCATTGACAGCTGCTAGAGGAGCTTCTGCGACTCTCACTGTGAAAATCACAGTGAGAAGACGCTGAACGTCCATAGGAAAGCATTGAGTAATGCTTTCCAATAGGCGGTTTGAATGCGCACGCAGCTCTTGACGCGCATTCAGAGCTGAGAGGCGGATCAGGGCGGAGGGATCCCCAGCGCCAAGGGAGTCTGGCGCTGGAGAAAGGTAAGTTCTGAAGACACGCACACTGTCACGAACAGACGCATACACACTAGCTAACAGACACACACTCTCACGAACAGACGCATACACACTAGCTAACAGACACACACATTTACTGACAGACACACACTCAGTGACAGACATACATATACACTCACTGACCTACATAGTTACATAGTTACATAGTTACATAGCTGAAAAGAGACTTGCGTCCATCAAGTTCAGCCTACCTCACATTTGTTTTTTGCTGTTGATCCAAAAGAAGGCAAAAAAACCCAGTTTGAAGCACAATTTTGCAACAAGCTAGGAAAAAAAATTCCTTCTTGACCCCAGAATGGCAGTCAGATTTATCCTTGGATCAAGCAGTTATTACCCTACATTGAAAGATTATATCCTTGAATATTCTGTTCTTGCAAGTATGCATCTAGTAGCCGTTTGAACATCTGTATGGACTCTGATAAAACCACTTCTTCAGGCAGAGAATTCCACATCCTGATTGTTCTTACAGTAAAAAAACCTTTCCTTTGCCTTAGACGAAATCTTCTTTCTTCCAGTCTAAACTCATGGCCTCGTGTCCTATGTAAAGTCCGGTTTGTGAATAGATTTCCACACAATGGTTTGTATTGGCCCCGAATATATTTGTATAATGTTATCATATCCCCTCTCAGGCGACGTTTTTCTAAACTAAATAGGTTTAAATTTGTTAACCTTTCTTCATAGCCGATATGTTCCATTCCTTTTATTAATTTTGTAGCCCGCCTCTGCACTTTTTCTAGTGCCATAATATCCTTCTTTAGAACAGGTGCCCAAAATTGCACAGCATATTCAATATGGGGTCTTACCAGTGATTTATAAAGAGGCAAAATTATATTCTTGTCCCGAGAATGAATGCCCTTTTTCATGCATGACAATACCTTACTGGCCTTGGCCACTGCTGATTGACATTGCACATTGTTGCATAGTTTGTTGTCTATAACAATTCCCAAGTCCTTTTCGTGTGTTGTTATCCCTAATTCGCTTCCATTAAGGGTATACGTTGCATGTGTATTCTTTACGCCGAAGTGCATAACTTTGCATTTTTCAACATTAAATTTCATCTGCCATTTGAGTGCCCAGTCCCCAGTCTATCTAAATCCCTCTGCAGCAAAGTAATATCTTGCTCACATTGTATTGTTTTACAAAGTTTTGTGTCATCTGCAAACACTGAAACATGACTTTCAATGCGGTCTTCAAGATCATTTATAAACATGTTAAATAGAAGGGGTCCCAGAACAGACCCCTGAGGGACACCACTTGCCACCTCTGTCCAGCTTGAAAATTTACCATTAATGACAACTCTTTGTACTCTGTTTTTAAGCCAATGTTCTACCCAAGAACAAGCATTTTCATTTAGACCGATTTCCTTGAGTTTGAACACTAATCTATTGTGTGGAACTGTATCAAATGCCTTGGCAAAATCCAAATAGATCACATCCACGGCAACACCCTGATCTATACTTCTACTTACTTCTTCGTAGAACGCAATCAAGTTAGTTTGACATGACCTGTGCTTCATAAAACCATGCTGATTTTTGCTGATAACCATGTTCTTCTCAAGGAATTCTTGAATATTATCCCTTAATAACCTTTCAAATATTTTACCAGCCACAGAAGTTAAGCTCACAGGTCTATAATTTCCAGGCAAGGATTTTGAACCCTTTTTGAATATAGGAACCACATCTGCCTTCCTCCAATCCTCCGGAACACTTCCTGAAAGAAAAGAATCTTGAAAGATTAAAAACAGAGGTTCACTTATTTCTACACTTAGTTCCTTAAGTACACGTGGATGGATACCGTCAGGCCCTGGAGCTTTGTTTATATTAACTTTCTTTAGTTGCTGCAGCACCTTGTCTTGAGTTAACCAATTACAATTATTCTGCAAGTTTTTAGTAGCAATCATTTGCACATCTATTGCCATGGGTTCTTCCTTAATATATACGGAGGAGAAATAGTTATTTAAAATTCCTGCCTTTTCCTGGTCTTCATTAATTAACACCCCCGTTTCAGTTTTTAGTGTACCTACACTTTCATTTTGTTTTTTTTTAGAATTTATGTACTTAAAAAATGCTTTGGGGTTGGTTTTGCTCTCTTCAGCTATCATTATTTCATTTTGAAGTTTAGCAAGTCTAATTGCCTTTTTGCACGCATTATTTGCATCCTTATATCTTTTATAAGATGCATCTGATTTGTCCGATTTAAATGCTATAAATGCCCTTCTCTTAGTTGTAATCTCTTGTTTTACTTCTCTAATAAGCCATGTTGGTTTTAATTTGTTTCTTTTATATTTATTTCCCAATGGTACATACTGAGAAATGTACCTTTGTAATATTTGTTGGAAGATGATCCATTTATCCTCAGTGTTCTTTTCACTAAAGAGTTTATGCCAGTCAATATATTGTAAAGCTTCCCTTAACTTATTGAAATTGGCCTTTTTAAAATTATATGTTTTAGTATTCCCCATGTGCTTTTGTTTTTTTGAGTTTATTTCAAAGGACACTATATTGTGATCACTATTTCCCAAGTGCTCACCTACTTGAATGTTGGTCAAAAGATCAACGTTGTTTGTTAAAACCAGGTCCAGACAAGCATCCATTCTAGTTGGTGCTTGTACAAGTTGTGACATGAAGGTGTCATTTAACAAGTTTAAAAACCTAATTCCCTTTGCTGAGGCACTAGTCCCTCTGTCCCAATTTATATCCGGGTAATTAAAATCTCCAATAATTAAAGTGTTACCTAGATTTGCAGCTTTCTCAATTTGCTCAAACAGCTGTTGTTCCTCGTCAATATTAACATTAGGTGGTTTATAACATATCCCAACCAATAGTTGGTTTCCCTTCTTTTCCCCAAGCAGATATTTACCCATAAAGCTTCCACATTATCCTCCTCGCATTCCATTTGCTTAACATTTGGCTTTAAATCATGTTTGACATACAAACATACCCCACCACCCTTCTTGTTTTTCCTATCCTTCCTAAATAACATGTACCCATTTAAGTTAGCTGCCCAGTCATGTGTCTCATCCCACCATGTTTCAGTTATGCCTATTATATCATATTGTTTAGTGTATGCTAATGCCTCTAGTTCCCCATTTTGTTATTTAGGCTCCTTGCATTAGTAAGCATACATTTAATATTATGCGTCACTTGTATATTTTGTGAATTTTCAACATTACACAGCTTCTCTGTTCTGAGCTTGCCCCTCCCCCCGTTTCCACCCCCCTTATACTGTGCTAAAGCCCATCTCCTTTCTGTCCTATCTCCATTTTGTAGATTGCTATGACCCTCCCCCCCTACTACTAGTTTAAAATCTCCTCCAACCTTCTAGCCATCCTATCCCCCAGCACTGCAGACCCTCTCCCGTTTAGGTGCAATCCATCACCACTATAAAGGTTGTACCCAATCGCAAAGTCGGCCCAGTGCTCTAAAAACCCAAAACCCTCCTTCCTGCACCAAGACTTAAGCCACGCATTGACCTCTCTAATCTCCCGCTGCCTTTCCACTGTAGCGCGTGGCACAGGTAATATCTCAGAGAATACCACCTTGGAGGTCCTTTTCTTAAGTTTGCTACCTAATTCCCCAAAATCATTCTTTATGACCTTCCATCTTCCTCTTACTTTGTTATTGGTACCAACATGGACCATGACCGCTGGGTCATCCCCAGCCCCTCCCAATAATCCATCCACTCTGTCAGCAACATGCCGGACCCGAGCACCCGGGAGACAGCAAACTGTCCGGTTGAGCCGATCA